CCTCATTGACTACACACTACTGTAGATGTTCACCAGTATGAGCTGCACAGTATAATCTATTAGGCTTTATACTGGAAAAATTATAGTTTCATACTTATTAGGGGCTTGATGGGACCTTACAGATCATTGGGTCCAGCCCCTCTGTACCTGAGCAGGAAATACTGCTGGAATCAGATGATCCCAGCAAGATGGGGCATCAATACGCTTTTTAAAGATCACCAGGGTGGGTGACTATATCATATCGGGGGGGAGGGCGGGGGGCCTGTTCCATGATGTTATCTATCATGTCCTGATTTTGCCTTGCACAGCGTGTTTAAAAACATGTTAGCTCATTACAATTAGTGACCAGCTAACACTGGCGATCGGTGGGGGGTGCACATGGGTACACATTCACCCCCTGAGTTTGGCTGTGCACACCCTGCAAGTGCCAGCCGCAAAACTGGAAGAGCCAGTGGAAGTGCATTTCCAGTTTTGCTGCCGGCTCGGTGATTGGCTGCAGGGGGGACACCCCTGTTAGCGATCTGGTGCCTGCCCAGACTCGGGAGGCACCAGTTGCCCATGCCAGCTAACATTTTCACACACTAATATCTAATCTATCATGTTAGCCACTACATTTTTAATGGGATGCTTTTCTTTCCATAACGGACAAAACAAAAAAGAGTTTGGAAGGAGGTGTATACAGAAGTGAAGCACTGACCATACTATTTAGCCATATCTTGGTATCTGGACATTTTAATAGCACAGTGAATTGAAGTTTTTGGTAAAAAAGATAGACTTTCCTTTAAGTATGATTAACACTGTCTATCAGTAAATCCATCTGGGAAAATATTTGAACCTCACTGGAAATATGATGTGCTTTATCCAAATTTAGTTCTTCCTTGATGAAAATATACTATTTAATAAGATAATAAATAAGTTACAGTAATAACACTGTGCAAATATTTAGTGCTTGTTATCCAGGGACCTCCTGATACTTTCAAAAGTGAGTAACTATAATTTGTCCCATTTTACAGAGGCAAACTGAGGTAAAGAGATGACTTGACTTGCCTAGGGTCACACAGGAAATCAGGGGCAGAGTTGTGAATAGAATCCGTGCTGCCTTATTACCACTTCTCTGCTACAGCAACTAGACTTGCTGCCTTCCCTCTGTCCATATGTGCTTTGAACAGTCAAGTCCATGTGGAAGGAACCAAATGTTGGTAGTGGTACAAAGAGTAAAGGGCCCAGGGTCATTTCCTAACAGATTACTTCTTCCTACCAAATGCAGCTCATCCTTTGATGCTGGCCAGCATACCCACAGTTGTCTCACCTTTTCTCCCCTTTCCACTTTTGTTTATACTGCAACTCCATCAGCAGCACTAGGCTGAAGACAGGCCTGTTGCTTTCAGAGCAAATCCTGAATCAGTGCAGGGGGTGAATTAATGCTTCCCAATAGCAGAACAGGCAACTGCCTCATTAAAGCTGAAGATCCAGTACAATTTTCATCACCAGCACAATGCATACTACCAAATAGTAGGGAATAAAACACCCTGAGTTTTCCTTTCCCTCCAGTTCCAAGTGAAAACCATCAAATGCATCTTAAATTCTGATGTTCTTCATTGTACTATAAAGAAGAAAGAAAATGTTCCTTAGAAATATCATCTATTCACCTTCACCCTTTCAAAGTTACTTATGAATCCATGCAAAAGCTCTAGGGCACCAAGGCTTACAGAGCACAGAGAAAAGAAAGAAAGATGATCTCCTGCCTTGCCTCTGACAATGACGTTCTCACTATCACATATCCAGGAGCACCCAAAGGTTTTCAGAAATCTAGATCCCATGTCTCTTACCTGAAAGCAAGTGCACTAGAATTCAATCTCACTGAGATCTGATGGAGCAAGAAATGAAAGCATGCATGAGTGAATGACACCTGGTTCCTGTCATTCCCTACCCCACAACAGTATCATGATGGAGTCTTCTTGTATCAGTCCAGCACTGACTGAAAAAAACCCAGAAACACACAACCTTAGTGGTGTAAAAGTTGCTAGACTTAACTTTCTATCTGTATTGTATCATTAAACAAAACAGTGCTGTTTGAACAAATGCCTGGCTTGTTTCTTTTTTATTTTTTGAACTTCATTCCCTCCTTCCCTTGACAGTTAGGATTTCTCTGGTCCTGCATTCAGTACCCTTCCAGCACTATCCTTAGGTATTATAACCCTGCACCTACAGGCAGCGAAGCTCCCATGTAGAGGAAATCTGTTCCCCTCTGCATGCTTAGTAACTTGTATCTTACTGTGGGCTTTATCCAATGTGATGTTATAGGACTCTGGCAATGAGCTTCTTGGAAGATCATTTCTCTGGCTAATACACTTCCTTGCTAGGCAGATCTTCTGAAATTGAGCCTAAATATTCCTTTCTTTCACAAAAAACACAGAGGTTAGCCACAAAAAAGACCCAGAGTTCCCAGACAGAGGGTGCATTGGACACCAAAACGGTATCACAGTATTATTCCTACATATATTTCCTTGACCACCTTGGACAGTTCCTCCCTCTCACTGCTTGGTGCTCGCACTTTTCAAATACATTTGCAGTCTCAGTTATTTAGCCAAACCATTGCTCTCTCTCTATTTTACTTCACAAGACATGTTGGTTGCTTTTGCCCCTCAATGTTTCCACTGCTTTCTGAAATCTGGTGATGTCACGAAGACCAAGATTAGCACAGCAGATCAAGGATGCGAAGTGGGATCAACTCTTCCTCCTGTCGGAAACCCCGTTCCCCCCTCCCCACAGCCAGCGCCGGGCAACTGCACTCCGAGCTCCCCCGAGTAGGTGGGCGGGGCCCGATGAGGTCACGGGGAAGGGGCGGGGGCCGCGG